CAATTCGATTTATATAGCAAACGCCAATCTTTCTCGAAAGTTATCGACCGCTTCCGAACGCTCCCGAATATTCTAAAACAAAACACATCATATCTCCCGGAAAGATTTCGTCTCATCCTCATCAGTTGCTTATCGCCGGTGATTAATGCGTCTCTACGTGTGCCTAGATTTCTAGAATAATCAGTGCATTAGTAATCCCATGAACATTCACCTTGCTGAAACAAAACTACTGAACACACGTCATATTATGTAGAAAAAAAGTCAAGTAGAAATAAGGATACAATATGACGGTAGCTCAGTACATTCAGAGTGTTCATTAGGGTGTCGAATTTTTGCATCTCGGCTTGTTCTATTATTTTAGTGTTAAAAAATAGTTTTTCTTTTGGATTTATTTAAGGAATACAGCATCCGTATTAAATTCAACAAAGGTTTACGAGCAAAATGTACCCCTATTGCGTCTCGTCGGTTTCATTGTTTACTATTTGCATTGTTGTCATAATAGCACGCCTAATTGGCGCACTGAGAATGAAACCAAACAGACATAAAAGTTCGCGTTATCCTTTGTAATCGATGGTGGTTGTATTGATCTTGTCGAAATACTGTTTCTGTTTTAATTTTTTTATTATCAAGAGCAATGCACGTAAACAAGTACGTTTATAACTCTGTCGACCGCTATCTTATAAAAGGTCTAAGTCTGCATAGGTGATACTTCCTTAGCCGTATGAGACAGCTTCCGACATAGCAGTAGTATTAAGGATGGCAATTTTGCTTGTGGCAAATTTCCTGATGGGGGAGAGAATTTTGCGAATTTTCCGGGAGCAAATAGCACGACGACTATTTCAGTACAAGCACTACGTAGTGAAATTTATACGGGGGACCAAATATCTCATGAAAATCTTTTAGGGAGCGAATTTTCCGACATAAATTTATGTACTACTATACTATACGGTTTTGTCACTGTAACCTGAGATTAGAAAATAGTTCCATCCGGTTGCAACAGAAACGAATTTCATCAGTAATAAAGGTACAACATTTCATTTCAACGGCGATAAAAGGCATATAATAATAATTAACTAATTAACGCCTACAATATGGCGAGTTCGTAACGTAAACGGACATCTTTAATCGTTAATTCATTTGCTTAATTCCCAACCTACGAATCAAACCACAGCCAGGGCAATAAATCAAATCCCGCGTACTTCTCAAACATGCCAATTTCGCGTTTTCCCCACTGCCGAGTGATCTCATTTAGCGGTTGTAATCAAATAGCCCTAACCATAGCGTAATTCTATTCTTTACACTATGCCCTAACTAAGATAACTGTATATGATAGAAATGCCCGACATCTCGTCTCCAGACATCCGAAATGCGTTAATAAGGCCATGCGCTACAGAAAGTCTATTCTATTCACAGGGCAGCACTTAGGCACACCAAAGACCCATTGTACCTGCCACAGAAATTAAACGACACAGAAAATACGAGCTTTGTTTCCACCACGGCTTACGAATACAATTCCACTAGTTTATTGGAAAATCGACCCTCGTCATTTCGATGACCAGAAATCCTTAAACTGCTCTACTCTAATGGTGGTTTCGGTGGTTAGCAACGCGCAACAAACTTTTGTTTCTATTGGCTATTTAATGATATTTGATAGTGATAAGGAACCCGAAAATTCCAAACGATTAACTTCACAAGTTATCATTAACACCTAACACAATTCATCAAACATCTGCCATCAAAACTATCCTGGTCGCACAAAGGATTACGAATAAACACACAATAAATTGATTGCCAATAACAAATATCTATTTCGAAACACATGAAATTATTGACCCGAATAGCATAAATCGTACACCCCTTTCCAACCGTCGTGAACCAGCCATCCTCGTTTTTACGTTGATTCCCACTTACGCCTAAAATAACGTGCAATTCTTCGAAACAACTTATCCATAATAGCAATAAGAGCACGTGCGCTAATTAAATCTCGTCCGATAACAAATCCTCTTATCGCAAACGACCAGATGTGTCTACATTAAAGCATATCTAAATTGAATAAATTGCGAACAATTCTAAAATGGAAAAACAACTACGCAAATACTAATTCAAATGAAATAAACTAATTATGCGCTTATTCGTAAATAATCCCCCGGGCTGCACTGAATCTCTGTGTCAATTAAACGGGAGTTCTCTGGGATATCATCTGGTTCTGATAATGAGTATGTTTAATAGATAAAGATAACACTGTACGGTTGTTTTTTATGGATAACTTGTCTACTGAAGTAGGAACAAGTTTGCCGAAATAGGCAGATAAGCAGAAATAGGTATCAAAATCCCAATGCGAATGTCACTTTGACAAATTATTTTTTGTGCAATTGGACGCGAAACAACAACTTCGCGTTCGCCATGGCGGCCGCGAAATTCACTTTCGCGGCCGCTGTCATAGCGACGGCCGTTAAAGTAAGACAATGTCACATATATTTTGACAATCAGCATGTAGGCAATTACAAATCTTTTGGATAAATGTTAATATTAAGCGTACAGTTCGTATTGTTACTTATACTTACTCCTGAAATAAAGTCTAAAGTGTTAGAAGCGTTATACTTTGAAACTGTAACATTTTGATTTTCATTAGAACTCAAACTGACAGGTACACTTGAAGTCCTTGTAGCATTTTTCGTACTGCCGCTTCGATTTTTCAGGTACTAACTCATAACTGCAACACAGCAGAATTCGCAACAAGTTTTATTTCCGGAGGAGTTCCGTATATCGAAGAATCACTTTCGGAGTCACACATTTTGACTTTTCTTTCACGAAAAATTATTCATTGTTTATCTCATTTCCATGGTAAAATGAAAACTGGCCGTCTTTCTATTTGCGACGAAAATTATTATTTTTGAAATCTCATTTTTATTTATTGACGATTCTACGCAATTGCACAAAAAATGTTGTGTATACCACGGCCGCGTCATTCTTTAACGCCCTCAAAGTTGCCTTGCCTCGGCCGCAAGCGGCCTCGGCGTCAATCTTCTTTTCGGTACGTTAAAGAATGACTTCGCGGCCTAAGTATACAAATAACTATTATCAGAACGACAGTGCCACAATGTTGCCGGATCATTTCAAGAGGCGGAGAATGTGAAAACCTGAAAACCAAACAAACATACAAAACAGAATTTCGGCACACGGATACGGTAGCGATTGCCATAAAGAGAACGCAAACAATAAAGCAGAAATTAATTAGCGGTAGCTACGGGAAATTAAAAGCGGGAAAAGCAAATCAATACCCCTCTTATAATTACCGAAAGTAAAATAGCAAATGCTTACCTTTAAAGTGAACGAAACGGTGAAATGAATGGATTTAAAATGCACGCGACTGGCACAGTTCAGATTAACGATTTAAATACGGTACTGTTGCCAAAGTAAATTTCGGAGAAAACTCAAAAATTACGGTACTTATGAACGTAACTTGCAAAACTCAAAAAAAATCCCTAAATAACGGCCTTACCCTTTTGTAAAATTCCCGCCCCCTCATGGGGGTTTTTTAACTCATGACTTAATCGGATGTTGTTTACTGCAACTCTTCTAATTAGCAACGGTGGACAAGAAATGTTTAAATTCATACTTCTAATAATTAACCCCCATTGTTTCTTGGAATTTAACAGTTCAGGCAAAAGGTCTCTTGAAATTTTAAAGTATTAATTTTTCAAGTTTTCTACATGACAAAAGCTTTCGAACGCTACAAAAGCAATTTCATGATTCCCATGGGAACAGCTACAAATGAAACAATTGAATACGACCTCTTGTTTTCCTGATCGGGCGGCTCTACAATTAAACCACTACTTTCAACCTTCAATTTCTAACTCCTAAAATTGAAATAAATAGTTCCGGAACAACACTATTCGTAACGAAGCACCTCTAGATACCGGGTGTTCAATAAAGCTGGGAGCGGTCATTTATGCACGGTGTGTCATAAATTGAGGTTTGAAAGATGCCAAAAGTTGTTTCTTCAGCAAACTTGAGCAATTTAAATAGTCGAAGTTCCAAAGGCGCGTGAGGGGGAAGTTCATAAAACCTTCGGCCACCATTTCTAGTTTTCTGAAGTTAAGCAGACCTGGCGATTCGAAGGAATGCATGATCTAGCAAGCGTGTTTCATTGTGAGCAATATTTAATTGATTCCCATTTATAATCATAAACAAAAAGGGGATGAAGCGATGGGCAGCCGTGGCAACTTTACAAAAACATTCCGAATAACCCAAACCACTACATTCTAAATTAGCAAAATTCCTCGAAACGGAGCGTATATTTATTCAGTTTTGCCTTTTCCCCCATGCTGAATTTAAGATAAACATTTCGCTAACGCATTTTGAATAGTTTATCAATCGGCGGATACACTAAATTAGGTGCATGATTTGTTTTGTGCAAATTGGATTCAATTCCCCATTAAAGTCGGGTATATGTTGTTACAAAACGCCCGTCAGATTTAAGGGTTGCGAGTCGAAAACCTACAATTACGTAGAGAGGAACTTCCGCTCGCGTAGTTTTGAGAAAATTTACCTCGAACCTCGTATTTCTCGCTCATGTTCACCTCTTAAATATTACGTCAAGGGCTCTTTTAACAGTGCACGTAATTTTTCATTTCGCTATACCGTCGTATTTATCTCTCTACGTCGAAAACGCGTGCTAATATGAGCTTGCTTTATAATTTGAAAATTTCTCGTTAGCGTTTGCTTCTGAGATGTTTCTTAAACAATACAGACTCTTCTATACGTTTTTGGTCCGGAGCTTCAAGGCAGCATGTCTAGGCATTACGAAACATTACATAAAAGGCACAAGTCTCTAAACTTAAAATTTAACGAGAAGGGCGTTTTCCATATACAGTAGACTCGCGATAACGTGAACACAAAAAAAATTGTAGGTGTTCTAACAATCGAGATGTTCACATTACCGAAACTATAGATATCCGATTCAAATATACAAATAAAAGTTGATTTAAGTGCATAGATTTATTAAAAAATAATTAAGTAATACAAAAAAAGTAAAAACAACACAAAAACACAAACTTGTACGTAATATGGTAAAATAAATGCATTATTATTAAAAAAAAAAAGTTAACAAAAAAGGTAGTACATACACTACATTGACTACATACTACTTAAAATAGGACGTAATTTTTGTTTGAATTTTATTTTGGGTTATATTTAACATTACAGCTTTTTCTTCTATTTTCTTTAGAGCTACCATGTCACTTACGTCAACAAGGTTTTGAATGGACCATTGTGAAACTGCTTTTAACGCTTCAAGAACCTCAACATGCGAAATTTTTTTTTCTTCTGTGCTAATCACTTCACAATCAGAATTTTCTGAATCAGCGCTATCTTCACTTTCCAAACCATCGTTATCAATAACGTCCTTATTCCATTCTTCAACATCTTGTTGCGTATACTCGGCCTAAAATGTGCAAAATGAAGTCTATGCTACGGAATGTTTACTATAAAAACGTACGGGTTCAATCGCTTCCAACAAACAAAATAGTGTCATTATTCAGTTTTTCAGTTTCGTTAGTCCATGTTTTCCGCAGTGTAGCTAAGGGTATATTATCTTGGTCTTCATTTTTACCTAAAATAGGATTCCAACATTTTGTAATCATCAAAGGGTCCAACTTCCACCACGCCTTATGTAGATGAATAATTGCGTCCTTTAAAGTTATTGTTTTGAGTGCCTCTGCAACTCCTTCACCTTTAGACACTACAGAACTCAACAAGCTTTTTCTGTAGTACAACTTAGTAAGTCGCAACACATTTTGATCCATCGGTTGAATTAATGGTGTTACGTTTGGTGGCATAAACATAGTAAAAATTGCTCCATTAGGGGTTTTTAATTCATCTGCTGAAGGATGGGATGGAGCGTTATCTAATATGAGGACAGCTTTCACTGGCAACCCTGTGCTTTTTAAAAACGCTGTTACCTAAAAGAACAATAATGATTGTTACAATTTACGCGAAAAGGGTAAAAAAATAAATTTCTTTACCTCAGGGACAAACTGTTTGAAAAACCAATGTTTAAAGATATCTTGGGTCATCCATGCATTCTTGGTATTCTTGTACACGAATGGATTTTGGAAGTTCTTGAACGCCCTAGGTGATTTTGCTTTTCCAATTAAGAGAGGTGTTAACCTATGCGAACCTGTAGCATTAAGACATCCCAAAAAAGTTACTCGCTGTTTCGCAATTTTCAGACCAGGGGCTGTCTTTTCATGTAGTGCAACATAAGTCTTATCCGGTAAAAGTTTCCAATATAATCCTGTTTCATCTGCATTGTAAATTTGATTTTCTGTTAAATCAAGCTCTTTAATAATCTTAGCTAATTCGTTTGTAAACGGATTTATTAGCTCGGGTTGAGAAGACAACTTCTCTCCTGCAATCTTGAGAAGTCTTATTCCATGACGCCATTTAAATTTTTGAAGCCACCCATCACTTGCGTTAAATGTTTCATTTTGTGAATTGAGCTGCTTATGTATAACTAGAGCCTTTTGTTTAATCATGTCACCTGTAACTGGCAAATTTCGTTCACGTTGTTTAACAAACCATTTATAAAGTAATCTTTCTAACTTCGGATTTTCTGCTTCTTTTAATGTACGTTTTTGAATTTTACCGGGTTTAATACTTTGATGTACAATTTTCAAAATTCTGTCTTCTTTATTTTTAATAGAACATATAGTAGATTTTGCTACGTGGTATTTTTTAGACAACGCCGTGACACACATGCCCTTTTTATGCTCTTCGATAATTTTGGCTTTTTCGTAAAGCGTTAAACACTTTTTCTTGCTTTTCACCATTTTAGAAAAAAACTTGAGCTAACCTCACTTGTAAACGTGTGCGGAGTAAAGTAACCACCATCAAAACGTCAAAGCGACTGGTTATGTGCAATTTTGATCATGTATTCTTGTTAGAAAATCTACCAATAATATATATGTAAGAAAATTCACACCACCGAGATTTTGGTGTTCATACTATAAAGCATATATGGTAATATTGTTGTGTTCATGTTACTGAGTTGTTCATTAAAACGCATGTTCACGTTATCGCGAGTCTACTGTATATGTAAATCGAATTAGAGTTGTTCTTAAGTATTACCTATTAGCCCACTGGTCCTGAGAAAGAGAGATATCCGCTCGTGCAGAGCTAGTACTCCGGCGCATTACGGTAGGTACTTTACCGCCCAAGTAATTCGTTTCGATTAAAAAGCGACACATCAATATTCAGGGTGTTGCAATGTTTAGATTAGTCAAGTCATGTCATTAGAACGGTTTCGTTTCCTACTGAGGCATGTGCGATTTGATCACAAGGATACACGGCAAGATAGCCGACAGATAGACAACAATTCGATAAGCTAGCAGCAGTTCGAGATCTATTTGATATGTTTGTAATTAATTGCAAGCGTAACTACATGTCATCCGAATACACAACGGTTGATGAGATGCTTGCTGCTTTCCGAGGGAGATGCAATTTTCGCCAATACCTTCCCAATAAACCGGACAAGTACAGCATCAAAATTTTTGCTTTAGTTGATGCCAAAACTTTTTATACGTGTAACCTCGAGGTATATGTGGGAAAGCAACCCCAAGGGCCATTTTCAGTTGAAAATACGGCGAAAGCTATCGTTAAAAGGCTGGTGGAACCAATCGCTAATACAGGGCGCACCATGGATAACTGGTTCACCAGTTTGCCATTATGTGAAAGCTTGTTGGGAAAAAAGTTAACTGTGGTGGGCACTATAAAAAAAAGTGAGCTACCTATTGAATTTGTGACTGGACTGAACCGTCCTCCAGGTTCCAGTACACTGTTCAAAATATAAGGTAAAATTTCTCTAAAAAAAAGACTATATAGGACCATTGTTTTTTTTTAGTGAGAATCACCTTTTAAAAAACAGAGAGTTATTCTCTGAGAAAGAAAGTGATACAATCATTTTATTTTTCCAAAGAAATTTACAGTTTAATTAGAAACTTCAACTATGTCATTTAATTGATTGTACTATATAAATTAGATAAGGATATGTAAGCAGAAGAGAAATTAAATACGCACAAAGGTGTTTGCACTTATAATACAATTAACTTGTCTAACTACACAGAGACATTTATTTAAAAACTAAGCGAAGTTCTCTTGAAAGCTATTTAAGTAATCTTTGGGATTTAAGTACCTTCTCGTTTTAAAACAAGTAAATTATCGTTTATCTTAGAGAAATTCTGGACGTCACATAACTAACTCTATCTAGGAAGTTAATGGGAGTATCTTAGAAGTTCGTTACATCTCCTTTTGCGCCAAGTGAATTCATCTTTGCAGGAAGGTACATTATTACTAGAATTTTGTGATATTCTCTAAATTAAAAGTATAAGTTACCTTTTATTTCAGAGAAATTTATTTAGTTATCTTGCTGTACTTTAGTACTTGCATACATAGGAGATGTACACAAATAAAATATTCAAATATATAGGTAATACATTTTAATTACAAAAAATACTAAAAACTGATTAAATAGTTCTCACTAATGATAAATATACTATGTGTCAAGCCTACTATATACATCCTAACGTCTTATAAAAAATGTTAACAATCTATTCTTTATATCTATTTGTTAAAAACACTAAAGAGAGTCTGTTTTGCGACGATCAAATGCAAATCTTCATCAAATGGAGGGTGTTTTTCAAACACTAAGTTATATTCTAAATTACTTAAATTTATCAGAGAAGTAGCTTTATTAGTGTTAATAATATGAAAACAATGCAACTTTTCGATGAAATTTAAGGTAACCCAAGGTATAGAAATTGCAAATGGTGTACTATTGTATATATAAGTGAATTGGATTTCATTAAAAATTGGGCGATTTTCATTTTCACTATCAAAGGAACAGGTAAACAATTTTTTCCTAAATTTAACACAATTTACAGAAATCCAAGTCACGAAAACAACATTACTCAACTCCTCTATGTCTGTGGTCAGGTTTTGAAAAATTTCTGTTATGGCGTTTTTGCTTAGCTACTGAACCAACGTCCAACTCGAACTCTTTACAAATTTTATTAGACCAATCAAAGAACATTTTTTTCTGATGAGTAACTGCCAAAAGTTTTCCAACGTTTCTAAAGTTCTTGAATTTTTGAACTTGTGATTTAAAGTAACCATGCTTACCCTCAAACCGCATAGTCCACAAGTCAATTATAGGTCCCATTTTACGTATTATCTGCGAGTAATGGAGAAGGAAATGATGTTTGGGAATTAAATGACAATCATACTCGGTCATAAGCAATAAATGATGTTCTTTTATTAAATGTCTCAATTGATTTAGCATGCCTAACGCAATTTTTCTAGAAAAAATAATATCCATGCACTGTAATAGCAACAGTAGTACTTTGAATTTTTTTAAACATTTCTTATTAACGTCTGATAATATTAACGGAATAAAAGTGATTAATGTCCAAGTTTGAGCTGCTCGTTGTCCTATTAAGCTTCCGCTTTTGTCTAGCAAAATTGGACTGGGTTTCTTTTTTTTGTCCAATAAACCAAAACTAAAAGATTTTAATCGTTCATTAATGTTTTGTAAAGTAATAAGTTTTTCAGATACAATATGTTTTAGGTACATTTTTATCTCACACTGTGCTACACCCTCTAATATATCATGCATGGCGTCAACAGATGGGGATTCAAATAACGAAAGGTAATTTAGATCATTTAATAATGAATACGATTTAATTCCGAATACATTACTTGCAGAGTCATTATCAGCAGTCTCTTTTGAATGAGCAGTATAATTTCCGCTAGTTCTTAAGATTAATTTTTTGTCATCTTCGTCATAAATTATCTTTGCATCTATCTTATGCACCATGCATATTCTGCAATAATAATTGGAGGAAAAAGATTCGACCATGCCAAATAACATCGCTCCTCCTAAATTATCATAGCAAAATCTTATCCCCGTTATCAAGTTCTATACCATCCGTTTACAACTTCTTTAAATTATGTACTATAATTTCTAGTATTTTATTCATCGAAAATTGTTTTATATCATTATTATAACAAAGTCCTAAAATATGAATATGCTCTAATTTTGTATTTAAGTGAAAAGCTAAATTTCTGATAATGAAATAAAAAGCACCTAACTTGTGTCCTCCGGTTTTAGAACCCAAAAGATTGACTGTTTCAAATGCATCAAAGTATATTTGCAACTATAGGCCATTTGGGAAATTTTGGAAAAAAACATTTGATTTTAAAGACGACCCATCTTTGAAGTTTTCATAAACCACACTTTCCTTACTTTTCTGAATTAAGGTATAATATGATTTATTATTTAGTAGAAACTTGAGAGTGTCCAGCAGAGGTATGTACACAAAATTAGAAGGAACTGGCACTTCCTTGTAGTTCTTAATATAACAAGAGCGCGAAGTTCAATTTCGCGCATTGAGACTGAAGGTATTTTGACGAAGCGAAGCCGAGTCAAAATATCAGTCAAATGCGCGAAATAACTTCGCGCTAGCGTTATATACAATATTTTTTCTACAGCTGAACCGATTGTTAATATTAAAATTGCTGTTTTAAGTTCAACTTTGTCACGTGCGCGAAATACTTTTTTTCACTGTTGACGATTTCGCGCACGTTGTCAATAGCAACCTTACTTATTAATTAACCGTTTAAAAATCTAGTACTTCGCGTTTCGAAATCCGTCAGAAAATGACAGGTTTTTTTGACAGTTGTAGAAAAAAAGATTTTTGATCCCATATTTGGTCGTGCCTTTGTCCCAAACAAATTTCAATAGGTTTTACAATTTGTGCTTCAAAATACTTTTCTCTTTTGTAGTGCGAATCAAAATTTTGAAAATAATTTTTTGGTTCATAGCTGCCATCTTGATCATTATTGTGCATACTCCACACTATATTATTTACAAATTCGTTAGTTGCGTCAATAATTTGCTGAGTAGTGGTAGCGGGTAAACCCAAAGATGTCAGTTTACTTACAAAATTAGCAGCTTCATTAACTGGCAGATTAGGGTCAGGGAGTGGTACGCTACAATTTAAAAGTTGATCAGTAGTTTCAGAGAAATTAACGTCATTGTCACTGTGCGAAGAAACTTCATGTATTACATCATTTGCGTTTCCGTCTGCATCGTCTGCGGTTACATTTTTTGTAGAGGTGTTTGGAGCAGTACTATATGTTCGAAGATGCCTTCGCAGTCCACTGTATAAATTGAATTTCCTTGGACACGGTTGATAAAAACATGGTGGAGTTCCCCCGGCCACGGTTCCCCCGCTGACGGCCCCGATCTCTCCGACCGCGACGATGGCCATGGTGCCCGCTGCTGCTAGGGCCCCGAGTGGCCAACTCCTCCTCGAAGGCCCTCAACCGCTCGTTGGTCGTCACCACGTAGCGCTCTAGCAGCTCAATCCTTTCAGCAGGATCGTTGCTGACAGCCTGTAACCATGTAACTCTGTAGTACAAATTATCAAATGTTAATAGTAAATTTAATATTGTGCAGCGCTATGCATTAGCTTCTTTACTCCGGATATAAAATTGAACGGACAGCATAGGCCGAATGATTATAATGTATGTATGTAATGTATTTACCAAAATTTGAGCGCCTACGTGGCTTCTGGCCGGACTCCTTCGGAGCTGAGTATGTTTGACCACGGATTCTCCGCTATGAATTATCGGTATTTAAATAAGGAGTATTACAACAATTTTAAGAGAGATTACCAGCAGCAGGCACTTCCATGGCCTCCGGTGCAGGAGGGATCAGCACCTCTGGTGGAGGGATCAGCGCCTCCGGTGGAGGGATCGGCGCCTCCGGCGCGGTAAGCGTCTCCGGCGGGGGTGGCACCATAATAGCATTCTCCTCCTGTGGGGGCTCCTTCGGCCGCTCCGGTTCGTTTACTATAAGCACATTTTTGTAATATGTTATGGAACTAAATGATTTCTTACCGTTTCGTGATTTTTTACCGCGCGGCATTTCCTGCAATATTAAAATAAATAGGAAATTTAATTAATGTAATGGAAGGGTAAATCTTATATACCGTTTAACTATACTTCGTTTTACTTGCTTTCGGAACAGACATGTCTATGAAGCTAAAGCACCTGCCACCTTTCCACATAATATTTAACAATAAAATTTCGCAAATGCTTGCCTATTGTAACTTCGTTTGTTAATTAGTATTTGTAAACGAAATATACTCAATTAGTATGTAGGAAATTATAGAATGTACGCTACGTAAGGTAAATGTACTTACACCTTTCTGACGTTTCTACTTTGCGTTCAAACCGAAAATGGCTTGTTTCTTACTTGTTACTTCCACCCCCTTTGGTAGTCATAAAAATCACGTGAAAACAAATGTGAAATTGTTTAGGGCCGCTACCGACGCCGACTATTGTTCACGTGATTTTTATTGCTTTTTTGTTTGGAGAAAGAGTTTCTTGGAAGCTCGTACCTATAACATATCACATATAACCCTTCGGTATAGAGGGTTAATATGCACTGTTTCGCTAATGCCATAAAAATGTATCATACATCGACATGCGTGTAAAGGGGAAGCATTTCCAGCTCTTGGTATTTTTCATAACGGCCCGAGTGCTTGAATAACGATGACTTTCACACGCCTTAGATATTTGTTCAAGTGCCATTTTTTTTCAAGTCTTCGGCGGTCATCGTGCCGTTGGCCATGTTGCCTCTGCGAAATGTCGGTCCTCCTTTTGTCGCATGATCTCCGTCAACTCGCGGTATCTGAAAAACGGATAACACTTCAGTTACCCTCATTCGGATGACTCGTAACACACATACTTAAAACGACGCCATAGAAAATCGTCAACTATGTCCCCATATTGAATGCTTTTTTTAAGAGTCGCGTGAAACAGATAGCTACCCATATAAATAAAATGAAACATATGAATACGATTATGTGCATTAGCTTGATAAAATCTTCAGAAAAAGAGTTTTTATAATATAATACGTTTTCGCCTAATCGCCTCTAATAAATTTCAAATGAACCATTTTTTGCAGATAAGGTTTCGGTGTATTTTTTTGAATTTTGTGCTTAGATGAATTGTCCTTCCATTGAAGAAAATCTTGTGGAGCCATTTCTTTCACATCCACTTTCGATGAACTCGCCATTTGCACGGCATTTTTGAAATCACGAAAATCAAAAACTTGAGCAATTTTCTTTAAACTCAATTCCACCTGGTGGTGAAACGAGTCCGCAGACATAAACGTATGGCCTGATTGAAAATATTTTACATTTAAATTTTCCAACTCGATCTCTGAAGAATTTACCACATAAATAAAGAAGCAAATTAATGCCCAGTTTTTGTTTTGTGCTGAACAGTTGTCCAGCCAAATAGTAATATTTTTTATTTGTTACTCAGTTGTAAACGTTGATTAACAAGACAAAACGCAAACGGGTAAACGTCATGTTTAAACGCTACTGACTTGTAAAACTGACAGCAGACCTGTAAAAATTTTTACAAGTTAGTAATCTAGTAATTTCATTGGCCAGAATTAATGCGAAGTCTCTGTTACATGGATAACATGATATTTTAGACATTTCTTCAAGATCAATTTAAGAACTAATTATTTACTTTTACTATTGTTTACAAATGAGTAACAAATAAAATATTGTACATTATACGCCAGGTAATAGTTTTTACTGGCTCTAGGAGATGACAAGCTCGCCTAACGGCTCGCTAGTCAACTTCTCCTATCGCCAGTAAAAACTCACTTACCTGGCTAATAATGTAAAATACTATTACATCCCTGTTATGTAAAAAGAACGCATAAAAACAAGAGACCAAATCCTCCTTGTTTCGACCAGCCACTCCTTCATGCCAGCAAGTGGTTTAGTAGTTTTGGTATAAGCACCAACTGGGAGTAAATATAACTTCCTTAAACATTTCAGCACGGGGTTACATTATAACCTGAAAAAAAGGCATGCATAAGTAATAAGATTAATAAATTATAAAATAAGGTCTACCTTTTGTAGGTCCGCTGAAACCATTAATGTTTCCGGTACCTTTTCTTTTTCGTCTGCTTTATACTCTGTTCTTCCGGCAACATACTTTTCTTTATGCTGCTTCCATGATGCACATTCCTTGCAGTCTTCATTCAATCCTTGTTTGCTACGACTCGAATTGTTTTAATGTAAGTCATGTTGTTCACATTCAAAACATTCTTCGTTGCCCAACTTGGCGAACGAAATATTCATTTCGGCAACTGTCTTTCTATACAACTCGTAGGAAATCTTCAAATTTGGACATTTTTGAGCAAAATGTTTATACATGAATGTTATCGAAATGTCACTGGCAAGATACAACTTGTTAGGTGCGTGTGCTCTCTTCTGTAATGAGAAATAACTGGCCGAAAATTCATATGCTCTTTAATTAAATTTGTATCAACTTTGGATGCATTAGGATGGCAACCACGCATATCTTTTTTTGGAGTAATAGAATTAGGTTCGGAGCTCTTCACAGATTTTAAAAATCTATCATTGGCAGGATGAAATCCCAAAGTAGCAAGCAGAAAAGTCTTACAAACATAACCTGACACACAGCATGGTTTCCTGCCAGGTCGTTCTACGATAACGAACCTACTATCTTCGATTAACCAGTGGACCAAACTTAGCGATTCTGAAGCCTCTATTGATATCATTTATTTAGATTTCAGTAAGGCGTTCGACAGGGTCTCTCACGAATTGTTGTTACATAAGTTGGTGAGTTTTGGAATTAATGGAAATGTCTTACAGTGGATTAAAGCTTTCCTGTCTGATCGTTCATTTGTAGTCAAAGTCGGTAACGTTGTATCAAACAGAACTGAGGTCGTTAGTGGTATCCCTCAAGGCTCTGTTCTTGGACCTTTTTTATTTATCTTGTTTACGTCGGACTTACTTTTGAACTTGAAATGCAGCCATGTGGCCTATGCTGACGATATCAAAATATTTGGTAACTCCTTGGAAGCGGAAAATAAAATCCAAGTCGCCTTAAATGCTGCAGTTGACTGGTGCAACTCGTGGGACTTGCCTTTGAACGGGGGAAAATGTGTGGTGCTGCGAATAGGACATCATAATCAAAAATTTTCTTACTGCTTGGATAATATACTGATCAATGAAGTTCAATGTCAAAACGATTTAGGAGTCACAATAAATAATAAATTAACTTGGGACGAGCAATCCGCTAAAGTTTTTAAAAAGTCTTTTGCTACGTTATGTATGTTCAGGAAAGTATTTCTTAATCCGTCACCAGAACTATGTACAAAGCTGTTTGTGACGTATATTAGGGTCATTTCGCACCAAGCCAGTCCAGTCCAGTCGCGTCCAGTCAAGTCGGACGCTACTGGATTGCAAATATTAATTTATCGTTGAAATAAGGGCAATGTATAGATCTGGTTTCATACTAAGCGCGTCACGTCCAGTCCGATCGCGTCAAGACTTGTCAAGACTGATTGCGACTCAGCCGGTTGAATTTTTAATGCCAGTCTTGACAGTCGTGCACTTCAGAATGGATGTGGAAACCTTGATTTCATTAGTGCAAGCAAAAGAGGCAATCTACGATCCTAAACACCCGAAGCACAGAGATCGTGATTTCATTGCTGCCGTGTGGAGAGGCATAGCCAGAGAATTAAACACAACTGGTAAGTAGGTATTTATTGCAGTATATTTTCATGAAACAAAGATATAGATCTATAAAGTCTAGATAACATCCCGACATTTTTCGTTTTGCCATGGTACAGAACCTCCTGGAGACATAAAATACTCTGTTAATTTTTCTCGGACCTGCAGCGCCTTTGTATTTGCTCTGTGAGTACTTGTAGGTCTCAACGACTGAAGTTGAAGATTATTGGAATTTTGTTCCAAAAACTCAGTTTCCAGAGATTTGTCACTTTCGTTTTGAGTTTGACGTACAAAATTGTGTATTACGCAAGCACTTTTAATTGAGCCTTCGGTTAACTGTATATCAGTTTCGATAGCTTTTTGAAATATACCAAATTTTTTAGTTAATATGCCAAACGCACACTCTACCGTTCGTCGTGCTCTGGACAACCGATAGTTGAATATTCTGTTGGCAAAATTTAACTGCCTACGAGCATAAGGTCTCATTAAGTTTTCACTCAAAGGAAATGCCTCGTCGCCTACTAAATAAAAAGGCATATTAATATCAGTATTAATAATTTCTTGAGAGCCAGGGATGTTTAGTGCGTTGGCTTTAAATGCTCTTCCCATTGTAGATTCTGAGAAAACTGTGCTATCGTTGTCTCTACCATACGCTCCTACGTCGATCAAAATGAAATTGCTTTTTGCATCGGCGACAGCCATTAAAACCACAGAATGAAAATGTTTGTAATTGTAAAACTGAGAACCAGCGTTTGGCGGACACTTTATTCGGCAGTGTTTACCATCGATACTCCCGACGCAGTTCGGCATTTGGCAAATTGTATAAAATGATTGCGCAACGTCTCTCCATTTCTCTGCTGTAGGCACAGGCATATACAACGGTTGCAAAATAGTCCAAACTACTTCATTCAGTTCTTTCACTACATAATGAATAGTACTGATTCCCATCCGAAAGGTATAGCTGAGGGATGTAAACGATTCTCCTGTTGCCAGATACCTACAACACAAGAGGTACACAACATATATTTATTGAGTTGCTGTTTTACGATAGATATGTTTCCTTGAATGAATTGTCTGCCCAAATAAACAATCCTATTCCTGTTTTTGGTTTCAGACGCAGAGGTCAAGGCAAAATGGCAAAATTTACGAAGCAATTACATGCGAGAAAAACGAAAACTGAAAAGTGTCCCTTCTGGGGCCGCTACAAACAGTGTCCCGAAAATAACATGGCCGTATTTTAAGTTCCTGTGGTTTTTGGATCCTACATTAAAACATAAAGCAACGTCGGGAAACGTTCCGGAATCCGTCACTGCCAATACTGATGACACTTCTGAGGGTCACATTGAGTCGCAAGATGAGCTTCAAGAAGAAAGCCAACAGTCGCCCCCAGACTCGCCACGAGCGCTTGAAGAAGACTTTCATCAGCAGGCATACGACGTCATTCGTACATCAAGTTGCGCTACTCCTGCTTTTGGCTCACTCACTCGAAGGAAACGACAAATTCAGACAAATGAAACGGAAAATGCAATGCAAGACGTTCAACGCGAGACACAGGGGGATCGTCAGGAGACGTATCCAGACATTCGTTCGCCAAGTGGTTCCACACGTTCTGATGACTTACTACTTCGGGGGAAAAGACAAAAGAAAAAAATTGATACCGAAAATGAAATTGATAGGCAATACCTTAAACACCTACAGGCAATTTCGGATAACGTGAAAGATGACCAAGATCCGGACTTATTGTTTCTACGAAGTTTACTTCCATCCATGAAACAACTTGGACCTCTCGAAAATTTAGAATTTAAAGGCGAAGTCATTAATTTATTACAGACAAAGATACGTTCTCAATCGAATCCACCATCAGTCGCTGCTTCTACATTTTCCCATTATTCCGCTAGTAGTGCACATTCGCTAGAAGAACTGGCTGATGACATTACACCCACAAATACTTTGGAGTCGTATGTACTGCATACTTTTAAATAGTTATATTTCATTTTTAAGAATCTTGGTGTATTTGTAAGAATGTTGTTTTTTCTTTATAAACATATTAAACATTTGCAAAAAAATTTGCTTTATTTGAAACGGTTTCCTTACCTCAGGAAAACGGCTAGTCTTTCTTCTGGGGAAATGGCAGCTCTGTAGTTGGTATTTTCTTTTCGAATCCGTTCAGCGATCAAATTTCTTAGTTGAAAAAACAAATCTGGGCTCATACGAAAGTAGTTGTAAAATTTTTTGGGGTCATTTAGTAAGTCGGGAAATAAATGGTTAAAAGAACCGAACACTGGTCTCCTGGTATGTATGGGATGAATCCAAAACAGATTTCGTCGTTTCTTTACCCTTCTTCTTCTTCTGTGTAGCCTACGTAAAATTATGCCTTGGAGAAGTACGTCCATCTTGACACAACTTCGCCACAAAACTGACGCGACGTATTCAGTGTGAAAGGAAATATTGACGTGACTTGACTGGACAAGACTTGACTGGACGCGACTGGACTGGACTGGCTTGGTGCGAAATGACCCTTACCCAATCTACAATTCATAATCAGGGTCATTTTCTGCAGTTGGGGGAAAGCTCTCGATAACGTCACGCGTTTTGGAATTAGTTATGGTGGCGAAAATTAAATATTGAAACTTCCTCTGATGCATGAATTTTTTCAAACTACTACAAACAGGCCTTCAAACTTTTTTAATTCGGTTTTGGGTAGTTTCATTTTGCGTTGCCGCTCAGTGAAATCGCTATTAACCTCTTCTGATTTAACAACAAAAAATTATTGTATCTGTAAAACACACGAGTTCCCAATAACCATTTATTATTCAATAATTAATTAATTAATTCGTATAATACTCTGAAAGTAAAAATTTAACTGAACACAGATGCGAGGAGTGCCACCGCAAGTCGGATACTGCCGATCACCGCGCCGTCCGAGTGCCCGTCGAGATTCCCCGCTCTCCCTAACCGCGCAGCGCTTACAACTCGGCCACGCGCCGTTGCCCACGTCCTCGTGGACTTCTGTCAGGTCCTACCATTAAGTGGTGGGCAAGAAAGTTAACCAATACATATTTCCTACGTATACGACAAAAATGTCCGTATCTTATCGTGTCAAGTCTCAAGCTCACATTCGTAACTACAACTTACACGAAGAAGACCCCCCCCCCTCCCTTTTTTAAAGTGAGGTCTAGGATTTATTTATCGTTTTCAGGGCGTATGTAATAGGTCATTACCGTGTATCGTCTTAAATTTTATTGCGTTTCGTCTTGTTCCCCGTCGTCGCTGACCACTAAGTCGGTCTCTGGGGTCGTAGTGTAGGGCTTCAGTTTGTCCACTGAGACAACACCCTCGTATGGCTTCTGGGATCGGGTTGCTCCAGGCAGATCTCTTATAACGTATCGATCAACGTCTAGGACTTTAGCGATTTCGTATGGCCCGCTATACTTTTGCAGGAGCTTTTTACTTTTGCCGTCGTTTGCGGCAACGTTTTTGCGTACCAATACGTGTTGGCCAACCTGATAATTTGGGGCTGGTTTTCGTTTCTGATCGTATCGTAACTTTTGTTGAGTTTGCTGTACGCGAACTCGTTCGCTCACTCGTTTTCGTGTTTCGGGGAGATCTTCAAAAAGGCGTCGTTCGCCTGCCGAGGTTGGTAACCTAGCAGCAACTCGTATGGGGTTTTGCCCGTCGTCTTATTTATAGTGGTATTTATGCCCCATTGTATTTGACTGACACTATCATCCCACTTAGTTACATCATCTGTCGAAGTGGATAAGGAACTCAAGATTGTTCGATTATATCTCTCCGCTTGGCCGTTGGCTCGTGGAGTCGCCGTTGCATTGTAGTTTACTTTTATTCCCATCGATTTGCAATATTCGACAAAGCGTTTACTAGTGAAAGCACTTCCTCGGTCGCATACAATGCGTAAAACAACACCAAACATGTTAAAGGTATCGTTCAAGAAAGTAATAACTGGATTTACAGACGTATTTCGTACCGCTTTCAGGAATGCAAATTTCGTAAAACCATCAATACCCGTAATTAGGTACTGATTTTTCTTTCGACTGGTGACAAATGGCCCGAGGTGGTCTATGTGTAGCGTATGCATCGGAACATCGAACTTTGGGATTGGATGCAAAAATCCTGGTCGTTTTCCAGTGGGTTCCTTATTATACATATATGACAAGCAACAGGCCACGTATCGTTTTACGTATTTTTTCATATCCGGGAACCAGTATTTTCGCCTCAATATTGCACACGTCTTCTCAGCGCCGAAGTGTCCGACGTTGTCGTGATGGTAAAACACGATTTGACTTCGCGCTGTTTTCGGAACTACCCATCGTCTACCATTTGCTGTTTTCTTGTAAATGCGATTATTTTCTAATACGTACTCGTCATGTACACGTTTCTCTTCGTCATCGATTGGTTCTTTCGTCAATGTGGAGTGCAATCGTTTACAAAAGTCATCATTTAATTGGTCAGCAAGTACCCAGTCGTCTTCGTTTACGTTTAGATGCAGTAAGTGCGCATCGTTATCGGAATCGATCCCTTCCCCTGGTATGCTGTTCCTGCTCAGCGCATCTACATGAGCCATCTTTATGCCCGGCATGTACTCAACATCAAAATCGTATTCTTGAGTGAGTAACCACCAACGCCCAATTCTAGGTATAAGGTCTCGTTTAGTCATGGTCGCACGTATAGCGTTACAGTCTGTTTTTACTGTGAAACGTTTTCCTAGTAGATACATTCGGAATCGTCTCATCGATTCTACTACTGCGAGGGTTTCCAACTCAAACGAGTGTTAGCCCTGTTCAGCTTTACTCGTTTGTCTACTGTAGTAACATACAGGCTTTAACGTTTGGTCTGACTGCCACTGCAACAGTATACCACCGACTCCAAATTTTGAGGCATCTGCGTGCAATTCACTGGGAGCATCCTTGTTGTATAGAGCTAGTACCGGACGTTCTAGCAACTTTCGTTTTAAGGCTTCGTACGCTTCTTCTTGATTTTCGCCCCACGTGAATGGCGTATTGGCTTTCGTAAGGGTGGTAAGCGGCTTGGCTATCGTGGCAAATCCCTTAATAAACTTACAAAAATATGAAGTTAACCCTAGGAATTGACGTATCTCATGGACGTTAGTTGGTTTCGGATACTTTTCCACTGCCTCGATCTTCGCAATACCCGGTCGTATGCCATGCGGACTAATCTCGTGCCCAAGGTATTCAAGTTTTTCGTGGAAGAACTGACATTTAGACAAACGAAACGTCATCCCTGCATCCCGAAACAACGTAAAAACCTCTCGTAGTGATCCTAATCCTGTCTCAAAGGATGAAGAAGGCAACAGAATGTCGTCTAAATAAGCCATTGCAGTTGTAAACCTAAGTTTATCGAGAATCGAGTTAATGGCGCGTTGAAACACGGCCGGAGCGTTTACTAAACCAAAAGGCATTCGAAGGTACTCGTAGTGTCCGTCGGGTGTTACGAAAGCAGTTTTTGCAACCGAGTCATCTGCCATTTTAATTTGGTGATACCCCGAAGCCATATCTAACGTCGTAAAATATTTACTTCCATGCATTCGTTCTAAATAATTGTCAACAAGAGGCAAGGGATATTTATCTTTTATCGTTTTTAAGTTGAGGGCCCTATATTCCACGCACATTCTGTATTCACCGGTTTTCCCTCTTCACAAGGAGAATAGGACTAGCATATGGAGACTGTGATTCTTGTACGATCCCATTAGCGATTAAATCTTGCACAATTCCTCTTACAGACTCCCGCTCTGGATACGCCAGGCGATAAGGGCGATACGTTACCGGCACGTCATCGTTTAAAAGTATTTGCATTTCAGTTACAGTGGTTTTACCCAGTTCAGTTGTATTTCCAGCAAAGCAATTTCGGAATTCGTTTATTAGATTTAATACTAGAATACATTCGCTTTCATTCAAATTAGAACCTAACCGCCCCTTGATATCGTTTAACTGAAAAGACGGCAAGGTGCCTGCATTAATAACCAAATTGCTCACCTCGTTTTGGGAGATTTCGTTTTCACATGGCGTCCCACGTGCAATAAGTTGATGTTGCCGAAACGTCAAATGGTTGGTGCTTATATTCTGGATAGCGATCACACCCCCTATGATGGTCACACAACCTGGAATGTTATACTCGCTCCCAGGTTTTTGTCTGGTTGTAACTTCAGTTGCAATCCCATTGCGTCCTTATGTCTGATGGTGACGATACTGCAACCCGTATCAACGTAAGCCCTGATGGGATTACCATTTATCTCGGCATCCACAAAATAGCATTCTTGTGTACTCATTGGGCAAATTAGTTTGACGTCTACTGTCGCTTTCGGTCGTCTACATTGTTTGGCTTCGTGTCCTAGCAACTTGCAGTTACTACATTCTAATCTCGGCTTTGGACACTTGCTCGAAATGTGGCCCGTTTCATGACAATTGTAACATCGAGTGGTACGAGCACGTTTAGCCATATCTGGTCCATAAGTACTCGATGGTTTCGAGCATTCCTTTGTTCCCAATCGTTTACGGTCAAATCCTACCTTTCCTCTGTTATCAGCTGGTTTCGAGTCGATTTCCAAAGCTTCCGTGGTTAACGTTGGCACCTGCATTAATGGGTTGTTCGCGACTTAATATTTGGTTAACCATTGCTTCCAAATTTCTAATTCGTGCATCTTTAGGATCCTCGTTTCGATTTTTACAATTGCAGTTATGAGTATCGCGTGAGTCATGACACCGATGACGCAGTGACCTTGATCTAACGCGACGCAATTCGGAAATCTCCCGTTTTCTACGCCTACTTCGATCTTCGGATGGTTTTCGATCGCTTCGATGTCGGCTACGCATTTGAATAATATGCGTTTATGTAATGTATCGAAACTATTTGATACCGTAATGCTGGGCGAAGTACAGGCGTTGCCTCGCACGTTTATGGAGATCCGTATTAAGCCACAAAAAAAGCTCGTTTCGTAACGAACGAATGTTAGCGTAAAATTGGTAACGTGTACTTACAAATCGGCAGAATACTCGTCCTTACCAAGGTCCTGGTAAGAATCGCATGATAGGGCACAATCCCTTGGTGCAACCACAGCACTTTACACGTAAAATACTCTTTTCGGATTCTAGGCACAGAGCCGATCCCGCCGCTGCGTTGTAAAACACACGAGTTTCCAATAATAATAATAATAATAATAATAATAATAATGCGAGGAGTGCCACCGCAAGTCGGATACTGCCGATCACCGCGCCGTCCGAGTGCCCGTCGAGATTCCCCGCTCTCCCTAACCGCGCAGCGCTTACATATCTCACCTTTAACTGTGTAAACGTAGGTAGTTCAATATTTTTCCGTACTTTCCATCCCCTGCAACATGGTTTCCTCTGATGTTTCGTGTCCTAATCATTTATCCATAATCTCATCATAA